AGGAGGAGGAGGAGGTGCAGGAGGTGCAGGAGGTGCAGGAGGTGCAGGAGGTGCAGGAGGTGCAGGAGGTGCAGGAGGTGCAGGAGGTGCAGGAGGGAGGGAAGGACGATCAGGAGCGAAGCAAGGACGAAGGGGAATATCAGGAGAAGGAGGAAGAGGAGGAGGGGGAGGAGGAGGGGAGGAGAGGAGGAGGAGAGGAGGAGGAAAAGGAGGGTGGGAGGAACCAGGACGAGGACCAGGGACGAGGAGGACGACGCGCAGATAGAGGCGCCCCCCGACGCGCACGGCCGCCACCCGCGCTCAACACAGGCGCCGCCGAGCGGGGAGGCGCCGCCGCGCGGCAGCCGGGCCGGGGCTCGAGCCCGCCGGGGTGCCCTGGGGCCGGCGAATTCTGGGGGCGTCTCGGTTTGGGCGTCGCCTGATGGGGGGGGATCAGGGTGTGTGTGGGGGGGGGGGGGGGGGGGGGGCGATCTGGGTGTGTGGGGGGAGGGGCGTGTGGGGGGCGAATTTTGGAACGTGTCCGTTTGGGCGTCGCCTGATGGGGGGGCGATCATCGAAAAATGACATACCCTATAAACAGAAAAATTGTGGCGCTACGCGCGGATTTCTTGGATCCGCGCCTGGGCCCCCCAGCGGCGCCTCCGGCGCCGCCCCTGCCGGCGCGGATCCAAGAAGTCCGCGCCGAGCGCCAAAAGTTTGTGTGTATGTGGTTTTCCTTCTTCTTCTAGGTCAAGTTGTGTGGGGGGGAGGGGGAGGTGCACTTCTCGGGCCTGACAAGAGCCCTATAGAGGGGCCCCACTGCCGCCGAAGGGCCCCTCTTCTGCAGCCCCGCTGCTCCCCATTGTATCGCCCCCCCCCACTTGCGCGACGCCCACTCGGACCGACCGGCCGCCGCTCCTCGAGGGAAGGAGCACCAGGATGGGTTTAAAGGACACATCCAGGACGAGGGTAAAATCGGACGAGGATGGATCCTCCCTTCCTCGTCCTCTTCCTCCTCCTCCCTTCCCTCCTCCTCTTCCTCCTCCTCCTCCTCCTCCCTGTCCTCCTCTTCCTCCTCCTTCTCCTGGGAATCTCTGAGATCTGGCGGGCCTGGAGGATGTGTGGGGCGCCGCGGCCTTCTCGAAAAGCGCTCTAGAGAACGCTTCGAGAAACGGACGGATCTCACCCGTCCTGGGCCCGCCCAGAGCGACACTGACAGACATGCTCAGGAGGGAACGAAGGGTTGCAACAAAAACCGAAGGGTTGCAACAAAAACCACAAAAACCAAGGGTTGCAACAAAAACCAAAACGAAGGGTTGCAACAAAAACCAAAACCCTTCGTTCAACGAAGGGTTGCAACAAAAACCAAAACCCTTCGTTCACGAAGGGTTTTTGTTGCAACCCTTCGCTCAGGAGGGAACAAAAACACACAGACACAATTCATCGTCGAGTCCCAGGAAAATATGGGAAAATATGGGCAGTGTGGGGGGGAAGACAGGAGCCCAGAACATAGGGGAAGATATGGGGAATCCTTTTATTTGTGTGTATTTATTTGTGTGTCCTGGGGCCCCTTCGCATGCGTCCTAAGGAAATCAGACGGAGGTTTTGCTCCATTTTCGAGGCCAGGGGATTGTGGAGTATGCGGTTTGTGAATTGTAATGGCCTCTGGCCAGTGCCGCCGATCCGGGGGGCTCCGGATTCGGTGATCTTTGCGGCTCTGTGGCCTCCTCCCTCGATGTTTCCGGTCCAATTTCTTCTCCCTCGTTCTCGTTCGCCTCTGCCTCCCGCTGAGCGGTCCCGGGAGGGGTCCGGGGAGGGTTCGAGAGGAAGGTCCTGGGGGCGGTAGCGGCTAGATCTGAAGGGGGTCCCTGGGACCCCCTGAAGATCTAAGGTAGGGGGTCTGGGGATGCGCAAATCATTAAGAAAACGCTAGATGGGGGACCGCCCAAACCCCCCCTCCCCCGCCTCCCCAGCAGAGCCACCCCGGCGACCCCCCCAAGCAGAATCTGAGGCTTGGGGATGCGTAAGTATATAATCGAGAAACGCCATATGCGGGGTCGCCGGCAGAGCCACCCCGGCGACCCCCCCAAGCAGAGCTGAAGCTCTTGCTTAGGCTTAGAGCTGAAGCTCTTGCTGAGACTCCTTGTAGTTCACACGCTGGATCTGCGGACTTCCTGAAGACGACGACGCCTCAAGGTGGGGGGGCTTCTGCGGCCCACAGAGTCAACGAATCGGCACCGAATGCGACATCACTTAACCCGGTCCCCAGAAAGCCTGTGTAAATAGATACGCGGAGGGGGGCCGGATATGTTCCGGACGTCCTCAGGGGACAGAGGAGAGTAGTAATTATTCAGACTGTGTAGTTGTGGAGGGTGGAAGAAAATTGGGCGGATGCGGAAGAGGATGAGGAAGAGGAAGAGGAAGAGGAGAAACGCGAACACAAAGGCCAGATGCCTCTTGGATGCTTCTCGGAGTCTCTTCGGATGTCTTTCGAGAGCAGCTTCTTCTAGGCCTGGTGGGGCGTCTTGGGTACATCAGGGGAGCCTATTGGGGCCGCTTGGGGGTCTCTTAGGAGCTTTTGGGGGGCATTTTGGGGGCATCTTTGGGGCCCTTGGAGCCTCCTGGGCGCCTCTTCGGGCACTCGGGAGCATCGGGGGCCATCTTGGGGCCATCATGGATGTGAGCGATCAATGAAGGGTGAGATTCCAATTAGCGTCTCCCTCCCCCAGGATGCCCAAATTGGCCCCAAACCTTGGCAAAATCACAGATGCCTTTCTTGCCGAGACCACGTTGGACGCTTACACCCCTCGCGAAACGCCCCGTCCAGGTCCAGGGGGAGGGGTAAGCCCCTTTGCGACGGGGGAAAAAAGGGGGCTGGAAGAGGAAACGCTCTAAAGCACGCGCGCCCTAAAGGGCAGGTGGGGTTGCTGTCCCACGAAGCCAGATGAGCGACGCAGAAGCGGGGCCGTCTGCGCCGACATTGGCGCGCAAGCTGCCCGCGTAAGGTCGCGCGTAAGCGCCCTCGTCTCCAATGTGGCGTGCCGCGCCGTCGGCTCACGTAAGCCGCCGCGTCGTAAGGTCGCTGCGTCATCTCGCGTGAGGCCCGTTTCTTTCCGTCGCTCAGATGCCCTGGCCTGGCGCAGAGCAGCTTGGCTCGCCCAGATGTCGCCATAAAGCATGAGGGTGCTGATGCTCCTCCCCGTCTCGTCGGGCTCTCGGTGCCCTTCCCCTGGGCATGAGGCTCGGGACGAGGGAAGGCCCCAGGGTCCCGGACCCGAATCCTGCAGGACAAGTCTCTGTCATGCGAAACCCCACTCTCAGGATAGGGAAAACACACAGACACAGAGCCGTAGTCAGCCATTTTGGCTCAGGCCACTGTGGTTGGAGCAGGCACGGACCCAGCCGGTGCAGCCGGTGCCGCTCGCCACCGCGGCCTGGGACGCGCCGCCGCGCCGCGGGGCGCCATGGGGTGCACTCCGAGTGCCCCCGCCAACTCGGGGCGCGCAATCGAGCAGGAGGTTCTGCAAGGCAGGCACGTGCGGTCTCCAGCGGGCGCTCCCGGGCGCGAGCTGCCCGAGCAGTTCACCATCCGGCTGCACAAAGGGGCCGGCGAAGCGCTCGGCGTGAGCCTCGGGATCTTGCCGACGGGCGCGGTGTTGTACTGCCTCGAGGAGGGCTACGTCCTCGACAAGTGGAACAAGGAGAACCCCGACGCGGCCGTGCGGCCCGGGTTCGTCATCGAGCAGGTGAATGGGGTGAGCGGGTACTGGCCCTTGATGGAGGAGATGCGCCGCGAGGGGCCCCTTGAAGCGAGGGTCTCCACAGTGCCCCCGCAGTCGGCGGGCCCCAACTGGCTCGAGGACATCGCGACCATGGGGAGGAATATCGAGCTGTCCAACGACAAGAGTCCATTCATGGTCCGGCTGTCAGCGGAGGCCTCGCAGAACGAGAAGGCGCTCACATCTTTCCCCAGCGTGGTCGCATGCGCGGCTGGGCTCGACAAGTGCGCGATCTGCCTCGAGGACTTCGACCCCAACGACATGCTGACAGAGCTTCCCAAGCTGCTGCTCTACCCCAAGCTGCCGACAACCAATTTGCTCTACCCCAAGCTGCCGACAACCAATTTGCTTGCAAAAAAACTGTCGCCGTCATTCATGCTGTATCCGCTTGGCTTGCCGACGGTGCCGATCGTGGTGCAGAGATGGACCTGTCCAAAGCTTACGACTCTATAGACCATGGTGTTGCGGCTGCTGCTCTTGAGCGGGAGAATGCCCCCGACGCCGTCGCGTACTGCTGCCTTGCCGCCTGGGGAGGGCCCCGTGTGTGCTGTGTCAATGGTGAACCCGCAGTGCCTCTTTGGGTCTCCCGAGGGCTCCCCCAGGGGGACTCCTGTGCCCCTGGGGCCATGGTAGCCACTCTAGGCCCCTGGGCCTGTACGCAGGCCCACGGATGGGCCTACATGGATGATCGGAGTCTTACCGCCATAGGTCCCGGGGCTCCCGAAGTACTGGGACGTGGATTAGCCATCGCGAAGCAGATCGGCGACTCTATATTGGATATACTGAGAATGTGGCGAAACGTCAGATGTGGGTGAAAGGTCAAGGTGATGAGATCGAACATATCGGGCTTGTCTGTGACCCTGGGAACCCTAGCGTACCGATTCGGCCTCGAGGGTGCTGGACTAAACTACATCGTGCTAGAAATACTTCGAAGCTTTCCTGGTGCATGTGCGTGAACATCTTGCTGTATCGTATGTGCGGCCTCTCTGGCTGTGGGCTACCCCCATCATCGAGCCCACCCCCAGGATCTTCGTGGGCCTCCTCTGCAGAGCTATCATAAAACAAAGTAAGTGTACTTGGTGGTGTGCAGGCAGATGGTGGGCCCTTCGTGTGCAATTACATCGTGTATTCTCTGCACCAGTTCAAGCACGTAGAGCAGTGCTATCTGAGAATCTAACACCGAGTGAGTTTGTGCATCCTGGTCTTCGTGCCCTTTTCGAGCCTCTTGGGTTGCAGGTCCTGTTGTATGATCCCGTTTGGGGGATCAAGCTCGGCATCAGCCCAGATGATGACCCGCTAGTCTTGCGGGTTCCGAGAGATGTGAGAGGAGGTGAGTGGGATTTCTGGACGCGTGCTGCGCCGCAGGGCGAGCATGTCGCCCGAGCCATCGCCCGACTCCCTTGTTTGCAGGCCGTGCACATGACACGGAATGACTCTCAGGGCCTTGACGACGTGGACATAGACGCCTCCTCGGGAGAGGTGTATGTCAAGCTCGTCAAGGGTCTCGACGCACCTTCCAAGAGGCTGCTGAACATTTTTCGTTCAGGAGAGGCCCAGACGGGAACCCGTCGTAGAAGTGGCAAGTACTGTAAGTGGTGCGAGTGTCCAATGCCAAGCATGAGACACCTGTTCGAGGATTGCCTTCATTTCTGCCAAGAGAGACGGCAAATTGCAGCATACCTTCAAGTGCCTATGGATTTTTGGACGACGTGTCCGGGAGTCACATCAAAGTCGGGGTGGATTACGTGTTCATCTTCGCCCCCAGCCAGACGCCGAAGTGTGATGTTGGTTGCTGCTTGCCGCCTTGCCATCGCCATCCTTGGGCAAAATTTTGAGCCTGAAGGTCGGTCACACCTTGATCGCTGGCTTCTTTCTGAAGGTTCAACCCCAGAGGTCGGGCGCTCCTTGCATGTACTTTCTCTGACAGATCTTCCCTGCAAGCGCGCCTTCCATCCGCTTTGCGCGGCGCGCTGGTTCACGCAGAACGCCTCGGAGTGCGTCTCGAAGAGACCCAGCTGCCCGCTCTGCTGCCGCAAGATGGTCAACGCGCGCGACGGCGTCGTGGCCGTCGACGCGGAGACTCTTCATAATAGGGAGTGACTTAGATCTTCACCGTTTTTGGTCGCGGCCGACGTGCCCGACGATTCCAGCGCCCACGGCTCATGCCCATCATGGGTTCCTCATGTTCGAGAAATAGTCTTCCAATATTGCAGGGGTCTGAGACTGAACTCGATCTGATGAGCTACGACTCATCGCCAGAGCGGGTCACGAGGCCCCTTGCAGTTCTCAGCAGTTGGCTATGGATTTGATCGACACAGAGAGACTCAGGGATATATGGAGAAGCGACGTATCATTTCTGGGGCCACCTTTGAGCCCCGGTTGGCTGGTTGCGATCGAACCTGCATTGAATTTTATTTTCCTTGACCCGTCGTCTCAGCCTGTATGGGATGCGCGCAGCGCTGGGAATGTGAACTGCGGCAGTAATCTCAGGTTGCTACGTATAGCAGTTGAAGCTATACTTTAATTCCTGCGATGGCGCAGTTGGTGGACCGCGGGTAGAGCAGCAGAGCAGACCCCGTGTCAGCACAAGGCAGGTCCTGCACAGGATATGGGAATAACACAAAAACATACACACACATCATTGTCGAATCCCACGGCAAAATGGGAAGATATGGGAAGTGGGGGGGGGGGACGAGAATCCAGAACATATGGGCAAGTCTGGGGAAACCTCATATGTTGTATGTATGAGTTGGTGTGTCTCTGGGTCCCTGCGAAATATCTTTCATGCCGCTCTCCTCTTCCTAGCGGCGCGCCTGGCGCTCGGGGCGCGCCCCGTGGCCATTGCGGTTGCCGGCGGGCGCGTTGCTGAGAGTTGATGCCTGGTTTGCGCTGGGAGTGACCGATGCCGCCTTCGCCGCCAGCTTCAGCTTGGCGGCGGTCTCAATATGTTGGCCCCGTGGCCCCCATCGGCCTCTCGCGGGCGGAGTTTTGGCCATGTTACGGAGGGCGGCCCGTCAATTGCACGGGGCGCGCAGGCTTTCACGCCTCATGGTCTCTTCATCTTCTTCTTCCCTAGCGCCGCCCCTGGCGCGCTCCGCGCGCCGGGGGGGGGGGGGGTCCAGCGCAGGTCCAAACCTGCCTCGGGCGGGCGGTCAGGGTGCTTCGCATTTTCGGGGGGGGGGGGGGGGCCTTCCCTCTCCTGATATCCTCCTTCTCCTCCTCCGCCTCCGCCTCCTCCTCCTCCTCCTCCACCTCCTCCCCCTCTCTTCCTCCTCCCGCGGCCATCTGGCTCAAGACGGGGACCCCTCCCCGCCCCGACTCCAGAGGCCCGAGGTCGAGGCGGAAGGGCAGCCCCTTCCATCAGGCCTGGCTGCCTCGGCCAGCTTTCAGCGCCGCGGCAGCGATTCTCGTGGCCCAGTAGGGCGTCGCCTTCGCCGTAGCTTCCGCCTGCTCGCGCGCGCCTGGCTGCGGCTGCTCGCGGCGGCGGCGCCATGGCGCGCGGCGCCCGCCCCCGCGCCGGCAGGGGCTGGCCGAGGCAGCCGCGACGGGCGCGATCGCCGCACGGCCAGGAGCCAGTCAAGAGTCCAGTGAAGCTATCTGGCCTGTTCGACGCCGTCATGTAGGGGATGGTCGTGGACGGACCTTCCGCGCCGCCATCGTGGGAAACGCGGTGCCAGTTTTGCAGCTCCCCCGGCTCCGCCGCCCGCGCCAGCGAGCGCCCGCTCTACGTCAAAGAGCCGTTCCAACCGCTGGTTGCGAAGCAGCAGCCAAGTTCACTTCGAGGACGCTCAGCCGAGCGACCGCGACCTCGACGCCGCCGCCGACCTCGACCCCGTCTCCGTCTGCATCACGGCGGCCACCTTTTGGAAGACATCGAGGGGGTCAGCGGATCGCACTATAAGCAGGCGCAGGTGGAGCTCAGGGCGGCCAAAGCGGCGGCCCTGGCATCGAAGACGCCCGATAAGTAGGCGCAGAGCCTCAGCGCCCAGCTCGCAGCCCAGCGTGAGAGGCTGGCGGGCAAGCAGATGGACGCCAACTGGTACATCGAGAAAGCGGAGCAGAACAGCCGCAAATACACGGAGATGGCCAAGAAGTGCTCCGAGATCCAGCGCGAGACCCAGCAGCTGGAGGCCCAGCTCAAGGTGGCCGCCACCGCGGCCGCGGCCAAGCGCGCCGCGTCCGAGGCCGCCGCCGACGCCCTCGAGGATTTCGTCAGGGCCAAGTTCGGAGGCAAGGAGATCCGCCGCTCTCCAGCAGGAGGTCGACGCCATGGCCCTAAAGCTCAACATGGAGTTCAACCGCGTGGCCGCAGCCGAGCGGCAGGCGCAGGTCGCGGAGGCTGCGGCCACCCCGCAGCAGCAGCAGCCGCCGGCTGGCGCGGCGGCCGCGCCGGCAGCCGCGGGCGACGCCGCCGCGCAGCCAGCTGGGGCGGATCACGACATCGAGCTCATGGACGCCCAGGAGCCGAAAGGCTTCGAGGCAGGCACCAAGCACATCTTGCAGGCGATCGAGGCCACGGCCGAGGCCACCACCTCCCACGGAGCCGTGGCGCCCGCCGCCGCCGACACGGCCCGCCGCCTCCGCCGGCGCGGCCAGGAGGGCGAGGGCCAGGCCGACAGCGCCGCAGCCGCCCAGAGCGGCAAGTCAGGTAGGTCACATTCGAATCGCCACTGACAATGGCAGTTGTTGGGAAAGCGCGACGACTTTCGTCAGGTCCGACTCGGGGTCCAAACAGTTCCAGATTGTTCGCTGCCAGGAAACAAAGTTGTTGGGGACCGCAGTTTTGGATGCTACTCGCTGGCGTGCCAAACAGGTTTGGAACGCCGTCATTTCGGAGGGGGTCAAGATTGAATGTGGGGCTGTCATTCAGGGCGCCGCCATCCTAATGCGCCAAGGTCTAGATCTGGGGACCGTCAGGATCGATGCGCCGCCCGACACGCCGCAGGGGAGAGTCGCAGCCGCGGCTCTGGAGGCGCCAGGACATGCCCAGTTTCTCTCGTGCTCGGTCTATCTCGCAGACAAGGTAGGCCTGAACCAGCATGGCCCCGAACTGCTGGCGAGGGTAGCGCAGCTCGGACATGGGCGCCGCATGCCGCAAGTGGCCGCGGGAGACTCAACCTCTCCCCCTCCGAGCTCCTCCAATCCGACGACTGTGCCCGTTCGGGAGCGCGAGTGCGGGCCCCGTCGGGGGCCGCCCTCTTCACCAAGAAAGCCGCCTCCCTCATAGACTACCTTGTGGTATCCAAGTGCTTACAAAACTGCGCGCGGGAGCCTGGGGTTCTCAAGCATTTCCCTCTCAGCCCTCAAAGGCCCGTGTATCTCGACTGGGTCGTGGAATCGCCCTTCTTGGTTCCCGCGTTGGCGCAGCCCCGGAAGCTCCCCACCAAGAAGCCCATGGGCCCGCAAAGCAAGGCCGAAGATTGGATCCAAACCGAGGGGGGGGGGGCATCCAGATGGAAGGTTTCCTGGGCCAGGGCCCGGCCTTTAAAGAGCTCGAAGGGGCCCTAGACGAAATGTACCAGACCTTCACGGCGGATCTGGCAAACCACATCAGCATCGCCAC